CCTGGGGTAGTGTAAATTCTAAGTTGTTCAAATCATGACCCCCGGGGGTTGGGCGGGGCCACAATGGAATCAAAGTTTTACAAAGAAATATATAGGTAAAATCTTTGAAAGCTTCTTTTCAAGAACCACTGGGTCAGAAAAGCTGAAACTTATACGGAAGCATCCTGGGACAGTGTAGATTCTAAATTCTTCAAATCATGACCCACAGGGGTAGGACGGGGCCATAATGGGAAATCAAAGTATTACATAGAAATATAAAGGAAAAGTCTTTGCAAATCTTCTTCTCAAGAACCACTGGGCCAGAAAAGCTGAAACTTATGTGCAAATATCCTCAGGTAGTGTAAATTCTAAATAAATCAAATCATGACCCCCGAGGGTAGGGTGGGGCCACAATGGGAAATCAAAGTATTTCAAAGAAATATATAGGAAAAGTCTTTGAAAATCTTTTTCTCAAGAATCACAGGCCCAGAAAAGCTGAAACTTATGTGGAAGCATCCTGAGATGGTGTAGATGTCAAATTGTCTAAACTATGATCAGTGCGGTAGGGTGTGGTCAAAGTATGTATTACAAGGGGAAAATCTAGTAAAGAACAGAATGGTCAAAGTATCTCAGGTGAGCGATGTGGCCCATGGGCCTCTTGTTTCAAAATGCTATTCCTTCTATAAGTTTGGTCAGATTTTAATTTAACTTTGCAGAAAAGTAAACCACAGTTAGATACATAATTCTATTATCGGTTTTTGATTTCATTGAACAGTGTTGCCGTGGTTACTAAAATAGAAATTCCTGTGAAAAACATTCAAAATGCTACTCCTTCTACACTTTTGGTCTATTTCAATATAACTTGGCACATAATTTGACTTCACTAAGATACATAAATCTGCATATAGATTTTCGATTTTGAAGAATGGTGAAGTTGCAATTACTAAAAATAGAAATTTCCTTGAAAATGAAAAAACGTCAAATTACGTTTGGTATAATATATTTGCCTTTGCTAAACAGACAAATGAAGGCCTAAACTTGTCCACTTGATAAATTTGTTGCCCCCTTATCGTTCTTTATTTTGTGTTTTATGACCTCATAAAGACCCATTGATGTAAAATGTAACGCATTAGATCTAGTGTAATTTATACGTATTTTATTGATTTCATCTGAGTTTTTTTGTAGATACAAATGTGATTTTGTTGTAAGATGAGCTATCCGATTCTAAAGTACAGTTTACTCTATTTGAACCAATCGTTGATTAGACACAGTAACTGAAAACAAGAGCTTTTTCATAGTCAATGTGTAAACCAGATGACGCGACCTTTAAATATAGAATGTTTCATAGTAGGATGATCCCGGTGAAAACCCTGTTGTAATCAAGATTTTTCTCTTCCAATTATGATTACTTTTTATACCACCTGCAAACGAAGTTTGGGGGGGTATATAGGAATCACCTTGTCTGTCTGTCTGTCCGTCTGTCTGTGCAATCGTGTCCGGTCCATATCTTTCTTACAGAGGGACATTAGAATCTACTACTCCACACTAAGATTGCCCATGACCCAAGGGTGTGTCATGACCTTGACCCAAGGTCATGTGTGGAAGTTCAAGGTCACTGGAAGAAAAATTTCATAATTCGTGTCCGGTCCATATCTTTCTTATGGATAAACTTGGAAGGTTCTCATTTCACACAAAGATTGCCCATGATCCAAGGGTGTGTCATGACCTTGACCTAAGGTCATTTGGAGAAGTTCAAGGTCACTGGAAGAATTTTTTTTCAAAATTCATGTTTGATACATGTTTTTTTATGGATAAACTTGGTAGGTTCTCATTTCACACAATAACTACCCATGACCCAAGGATGTGTCATGACCTTGACCCAAGGTCTTTTGGAGAAGTTCAAGGTCACTGTTAGAAAAAATTCATAATTTGTGTTTGATATATATCTTTATTATGGAAAAACGTACCTCTGAAAAACCCAGCAGGGGGTATTTTGTCCCGTTTGGACAGTTCTAGTTTAAAATTAATACTTTATAAACAAAAATCTTCATATTTTTATTTGATACGTATAAGTCATACATGTTTTTTTTTTCATTCCCAGTGTAATTTTATAACAATGACCCTAAAAAGCCGTGTAATTAATTCAACATTGACTTTAACATCCTTTCAATACAAAATACAATGGGTATGCAAAATCTGTTAAATAAAGTTATTTCACACATTAAGAGGAAAAAATATCCAGAAAAACTCAGGGGGCACAGCATTTTTGCCCTTAAATCATGGGGATGTTGAAGTTCATGATAAACGTGGATCAATGAACAGTAGGCGTTTTTGAATGCACAGTTCTGCAATCTGAAACACGAGGACTAATATGAAAAACATATTATAAGATACACAGTCAGTAAGTGACCTAATACGGAGTCATGCAGGGTGTGAAATGGAAATCTGTTGAGAGCGAGGCGAAGACTAGTCCCAATACGGATTTCCCTTTCACACCCTGTATGACTCCGTATTAAGTCACTAAATGACTGTGTTACGAATATATCCCGCTGAAGACCTCTTTGAAATATTGAAAATGTATGTGTTTGTTATCAACAATCGACATAAAATAAAGTAGCAAGAAGTTTAACATTACAGTAAAAATTACTACCTACACAATCCGTTTCTTAGCTGCCAATATTTACAGTAACAACGTTTCGATCGAAATCTTGTGCTCAATTTTCATATTACTCCTTGACGGCGACATCATACTTCAGGGCGTCTTTTGATTAGCTTTTCTCGAATCAGTAATCTACAAAGAAGAAGGTATGGTTTTAGCTTTATTGCGCCCAAAAAATGTAATGACATCAAAAAGTTTTGAAACTGTCTTAAGTATTAGTTAAGTATATCACTGTGATAAATCGGGAAAAAATATGGCATGAAGGATTACCATTCTGCAAATATGACGTCATTAATGTGAAGCATTTCTTTATTTTCGAAAGAAAAAGCCTTCAAATGGCATATTTCAAGGGTGATTTTCCTTTAGAAAACAGTGTCCACAGCCGTCGCCCACGTTGATATTTTGATATTTTGTGCAAAATTCAATAACAAATCACATATCTCAACATCTTTGTGGGCGATGCCTGTGGAAAATGTCATCTGAAAGAAAATTTCATTGAAAATTTGTGTCTTCTGCAACTTGTTAAGATAATATGGGAAATGCACATGTTTATGACGTCATAATTAGCATTTAAAAACACATGAGAGAAAAATGATTTGTATGATTTTTCTGCATTGAATTTCAATTATCTAAAATGCGTGAGTTTTCAACTTTTACACCAGTTTCATTTTTTCGAAAATCTAAGAGCAAAATTTGTATGGAAACCATACCTTCTTCTATGTTTGAAGCGGGATAAATAGGGTTTATGATGACATCATTGTAATTTTGCTATCACAAGAAATGCGATTTTAAATATGACTCAAAACTTACTGGCATTACAAGCATGCGCATATACATATACATGCACTGTAATGCTACGGTACTGATACTTCTATAACAGTTTGGATTAGCAACACTGACGATCATACAGTTCGTACATAAATTGATCAGATAAAAATCCATGCCCCAATTTGTGAGACTGAATCTAAACACTTTAAAAAAAAGTATATATTTTTACAGTTAAACATTTTTTTAAGCAGACTATAATATAATCTTCGTTAAAATTAACTGATACACATTTAGAAAATTCGATATGTAAGTATATATATAAACAGGAAAGTAGGATTACATAGAAGGAATCACGTTTAATCTCTTACATTTTAAAATTAATTCGATTATAATAAAGGTAGTACTGTGTTATGTGTATATGGACTGAATTTGTTAGAGAGAAAGAGAGTCATCGAGACAGGGAAAGCCAATGAGTGAAAAGGGAAAGCGATTGAGAGAGGGGAAAGTGATGAAGCAAAAGGATCATTTCATTTCCCATAAATAAATGAAATAATAGTTGATTTGCAAGTTAGTTTCACTTTCACATACCACGGTCAAATCAAGCTTAATTTGTACTTAAGTGCGTGCTATATATATTTATATATAAATATCTATCTACTAGTATCGATAGCATAATCCGATCATGGCTTAAACATTTTAATTGGGAAACAATTCATAGATATTCTTGTTTTAGAAAATGATTCAACTGACAGCGTTTATATTCACATGATATGTTACACGAGTACAGAACCTCTCTATCTCTCTCTCTCTCTCTCTCTCTCTCTGGACAATGTTTTTTTTCAATCTCTTTAAATTGATGTATCGATGGTTGACAATAAATTACACAGATAAAACAGACTAAAGTCTTAAAAACAAGCCATAGAATGTTGAAAGACAAATAATATAATGTTGGAACATCATTTATGTATGCGAGATTTTGACATTTCTTCAGAATTAAGCTGCAAAAGACATGATTTTTGTATAAATTATAGTACTGAATGTCGCAACTGGGTCTTACTGAGGTCATAAGCAAAGGATTGAAATAAGCCACGCCAATTGTAATTCATTTTTTCAGTGAAGTAATTTTGATTGACTTTTCTGCATCCAACTTGCGTAAAAAATCCAAAATGTATTTTCAGGCTCATTCATATTGCTCAGATGAACTCATTTCCGTATACAACCGAAAATGCTTAGGACATTGTTTTGTATGACTTTCATAAAGCAAGAATGTCACAACTGACCTCAACACTGCATGAAAAGTCGCGTTTAATATAATTTAATAAATTCGTTTACTCCAGTAAATTTCTTGTATTGAATTTAATTTATGTATAACGGTACATTTTACATGAGATATATTGTGATATAATTAAATACAGTTTTCAAATAAGTATAATCATATTTAATGCAAAATACGTCGAGAATAATATAGTTTAATTGAGATAATTATACGTTCCGTTTAAGAATATCGACATGTAAAAGTAAATATGCTTATACTTAAAGTTTAAGTACATTTTTGGTATTTTGAATATGTCATAAATAATTCTTTATACCTAATGTAAACTTATGTTGAAACATTTTTGAAAAAAAAATATTTAGGCACCCTATTCATTTTAATTTATTTATTTCTCATTTTTATTTATTTACCCTTATGTAGATTTTTCAAAACTGTGGAATATAACTTAGTTTTTTCTCTATCGACTACCACTGTAGTACAATTACATCGGGATCGAAGTCGGGCTCGAAAAGCAATTTATTTAAAAACAACACACCGCGCCGAAATTCAATTTTTTGGAGAGTTTCACGCAGCCATGTTCAATTTGATCATGATGTTGTACGGGAGGAAGGGGCGAAAGAGAGTTACTCGAAAAGGAGAAGCATGATAAACTTTGGATGGAATTTATGTTTTAACAGAAGATGAAGACATTTACGACCCTGTTTAGCGGTAGGAACAATGTACAAAATTTTATCATGTGTCCTTGAATGAATAATTGCCTCTGCTACTGATAATGTTACTGTTCCTTAGTCTGGGCTGTACACATAAAATGCCTGGCAGTAAAAACGTTTGGGCAAGCGCTATTTACATTTTGTAATAATTATCTAACACTTTTAACCATCTAACTTAAAGATGGATTTTAACTCGAATTTTCTCGTTTTGGGATTGGTTTCAGAATTTTTGTCACTAAAGTGTTCCTCTGTTCAGCATTTACAGAGAGTGTTGTACAATGTAATAAATTATTTATTTATTTCTTAATGCCTACTCAAGAATATATTGAGCACTTATTTTGATTATTTAAATAGTTGCAGTGTGGACTGTGCCTGAGACGATTCCCCATAACGCCGGCTATGTAGACAGCTTGTGAAAATGGTGAGAACCATACCGCTCAAATTTTCTATTATCACAAATAAACAAACAATGTTTTTATTAACTTGTATCTTTTAGCATAAGAGTATAAAAAATATTGCAACAACTTGAAATGCTATATACCAAGTAGACAATACGAGGTTTATATTCTTATTTTCCTTATCCTAAAAATACAATAGCAATGGATTCTGAGCTATGCATAATTTTTTTACGTTAAATACGTAAGCATGAATTATTAAAAATAGCTATCACATTCTATGATGCACAATTATGCATGCATTATTTACAGGAATCCAAATGCTCACAAGAAATGACAAAAGCAGTATGAAGATTAACACAACGGTAAGATTTCTTAAATTTTCTGATAAGATCAATAAAATCACATGAATTGATTTATTTTAGCTCACCTGAGCCATTTTAAGACCCGAGCGAGTTTTCTGTTCTGTGTCTGGTATTCGTCGGTCATCTATAAACTTTTCAAATTTTTACATTCATGAGAATTATTCCTAGTTTGAATAAAAATCCCTGCAAGATACATCTTTTCTTTCAGAAATTGTGCCAGAAAAGTTTGAAGTAGCTATGGGAATGATCAACATTGAACTTGCTGAGGCTCTCTTCCTGAAAGTGACTTGACCAGATATTTGGCTACCCAGTATGAGGTACGAACTAATCATTTGTTGTACAACTTATTGTGTATGAGATTGCCACCATTTACTGGAAGTTTGCATTTGTTGTCCACTTTAAAAACTTGCTATATTCAGTGTAAGTTGTTAATATATTTTACTTTATGTTAAATCACTTGTTCATTATCCCAATAACTTGCATGTTAAATGCTGTAGATGCTAACCTTTGCATTTAAGTTTACTCTTAAATTCCATGTGTTCCGAGTATGTACACCCATTTCATATCATGTTTTGTCGTCTCTAAATTTAATATAATACATATCATAATATGTACTAGATCACAAAGTTTGAGGATTTTATTATTGTATGAATGTTATCTACTTGCTCTATATCATAAATACATCTGTTTGTATATTTTTTCTACGAGATGCCATACCTGCTTTTAATTTTTCATATTTTTTTTTATCCATAGTATCTTTCTGCTACATTAAATAAAATATCGTGGAGGAACACGAAGAAAAGGGCTGCGCACCTCAACATATTCAAGGTCAAGCAGGTAAATACATTGGTAAATTGCTAAAAAAAAAAAAAAAAAAAAAAAAAAAAAAAGATGGCAAAAAGTCACCAGTCCCCAATTTACATGTACTAAATCACTTTAAATCTGCAGCTTGCTGCTGTGAAACTATATATATGTGTGTCTTAATATGATAAATGCTGTAAATGCTATTCTTTGCATTTTCCTAAACTTTGTAAATCTTCAAATTCCATGTGCTCGGACTACGGTACCATTATGTATGTTTGTTGATTATCACATATATATTTTTTGTCGTCTATAAATTTGATCTATACATATAATTATATGTTTTTTTTATGCAATTCACTTAACTAGATGACACAGAGAATTTTTTTCATTGTGTAAAATGTTATCTTCTTGCCGTAGTCATGTTAGTCATAAGTATACCCTGTTTGTATATTTTTTCTCCTTTTTTGTATATTCTTTCTATGGAGAGCCACACCTGTTATCAATTTTTCATATTTTGTTTATGACAGCTTTTTACCATATCCATAGTATCTTGCTGCTAAATGAAAGAATTTACAATTAGTGTGGAGGAGCAGAGAAAAGGGCACCTCAACATGTTCAAGGTCAAGCAGGTAAAATGCTCCAAGAAAAAAAAGATGGTGAAAAAAATCATTAGTCCCAAATTTACACGCTTCGAAATCTGTAGCTCGCTGGCCTGAAATTATAGATAATTATCTGTCTTTATTACCCAGATTTGAAAAAATGGCATATCTTTTGTAGTCTTCTGTAAATTTTTAATTAAGCAAAATTGAGCTGTGTTTCCTCTAGGTCAAATGATAATTTTAAAATCAACTCAGATTTTGTTTTTACTATTTAATATATGCAATTGCATAAATCCGGAAGCACACATATAATATGTATATATAGGCAAATGGGTATTTATTTTTATGTTTATTGTAGAAATTAGGAGCTAGGTGTGCTTCTCCAGAGCTGAAAACTTCTTGGCATGAAGAGAAGAAGAAGCAAGAAAAAGCAGTTTTAAATATTGATTACGTCTTCATAGTACAAAAAATGATTCTAAAGATAATACTATCTATGAAATTAGAAAGCTGAAGTTGCGTTCTGATGAATGTGAGAATGTCTTCAAAGAACAGGACACCAAAAGTGCCATTCTCAAATCAAAGCACTCTAAAAGGCAGAGCATAAGAAGAACTAGGACAAATAAAGAATCTAAAAGAGTCAAACCTATGGATGTATTAATTGAACAGAGATGGGCTATTAGAGATGAAATATCTGAGTTGCTACTGTTTTGCACAAATTCAATGTTAGATAAGAAAAATATACCTAGTGTTGTATTTTTGACAGTGAAAGTTTTTTCTTATGCTTGATTACAGATTAAAACTGTTATGTATTTTATTGTTTAAACATTTATTGGTTTGTTGTGTAATCTGCAATCACATACATTTTAATCTTGATTTATATATCACATATATGTACAAGTCTAACTTAAATAATAAGTGCATGGACATTATTGTGGAAAAAATAAGACAATCATGATCAAGGGTAGTCTGAAAGAGCTTTGCTGGCAGTAAGTTGCAGATCTTGATACCCAAGTAAGAGAAAGGTGGCGTCTCTGACCGATCCTTTTGCTGTTGCTTGTGGGCGAGTGAGGCTTCTCTGTCAGTGGCTTAGTGAGTCATAGATGTAAAAAATAGAATAGGCAAATGAGGTAGAGACATTTCTGAGTAAAAAAGGGGTGAATTGTGATTTTAATAAATATTACAATTGATATTGCAAGAGTAATGAGAATTGCAAGAGTAAAATATTAATTTGTTTCCTTCCATTTGAAGTAAGAGAGTTTATGAATTATGAGTTATGGAATTGTAATTAAGGCTTAAAAAATTGTTAAATATACTTTTACATATGTTTATACAGGACTTTTATATGTGCATGTTTCAGAGCTCATTTTTGATATTTTAAAGCAAAGTTGAAAATATCACTATTGAAATGTTTTGCATTCCAATGTAACGTTGATTTAATGAGGATATGTTATATTACAATCATCAAGCAATAAACCTAGCAGTTGGAACAGAAATGAGCTACATGTATTGTAAACAAATTTAAGCTGCTATTGTTTTGTGTAATTGTGATACTTTTTCCTTAATTTGAATTGACATAACCAAATGATATAAAGGGTTTTTTTGGGTCTTGTATTTTTCACAGTCAACATTAAGTATTTTTCAAGTTGAACTTGGATAATTAGTGCATGGACATCTATTGTTGAAATACTTGGGAAACAATATAAGGGTGGTCTAAAAGAGCTTTGCTGGCAGTAAGTTGCAGATCTTGATACCCAAGCAAGAGAAAGGTGGTGTCTCTGACCGATCCTTTTGCTGTTGCTTGTGGGCGAGTGAGGCTTCTCTGTTAGTGGCTTAGTGTGTCTTATTAAAATGTACATGTAAAAAGAATGGACAACTTTTATTGGCAACTTTTATTCTTTTTATGCAAAGTATGATATAATTTATTGTGGGAAATTGAAAAGCCATTTACAACCCATGCAGAAGTTTTAATAGGGGCAGTTTCAGTCAGATTTTGCAGTCTTTTGGAGTCCAGAATGACTACATTTTTTACCTGTTGTGTTTTGATTTATTGCGGATTTGAATTTTACATACAATACTATTCTTATATTATTTATAATTACTTCAGTATATTACTTACTACTAGTATGTAGAAATTTACTCCATTATAATTGAGCTACAATCATGATTGTAAATTTTTTAATTCTGACTTTTAGGCCTAAATTTGAAATATTTTGTACTTTGTTAGAACTCATTGTTTGTACACTATTGAGATAACATCTAATAAAATTGAATGAGAAATGGATTTGTGTAAGATTGTAAAATACTTGCCAAAAAACCCACAATTGTAAACCATACAAATTATTGATGGAATAAATGTAAAATAAAAATATTATGCAATAATATAATAATGTTAAATTTCATCAAATACAACCTTAAATCTTAATTATATGGGAAGGTTTAATCCGTACATTTTCATCACATATACAAGAGATTTAATATTAGTTTATGAAAGAATAAAATTTGTACGTATTAGTAAGTTTACAATTCTCCGTATATAACTTAATTTTTGGAAGTATTATAAAGTAAAGTGTGAATTTAACAAAAAATAATGAGGTAAAGATCTACGTTAAATTTTATTAAACGAACAAATTTAATGTGACCGTAAAACTTAATTTTATGGCCATGTTTAATAATAATTATACGTTTTGTATATTAGAGGTATAATAATTGTTTACGGCAGACTAAAATCCGAACGTATTAGTAAGTTTACAATTTTCCAAACTTTATTAAATTTGTTCTTTTAATTTTTCATTAAACTCGTATTAAATGCTAATTATTTTCTAACATTTACGATCCCACAATATGTTATAATATGCATTTAAACATTAAATAATCGCAGCATTTAAATCACATTTAAGGTAAAATTAAACCCGACTTTTCATGCAGTCGTTCAATATACTAGATTTTCCACACAAATAACAAAAGAAAACATGTATTTTTGCCGTTTAACAGGCTATATTTAACAGTTTTACATAAAATATTGCTTTTTAAAGCTAACAACAAAAATATTGTAAAGTATAAAAACTTACTGAGCTGTGGCATTTTACACATTAAAATTATACTGTCGGCCCCCATCTTGCTCTCAACGCCGCTACAAAACATCCCTGAATCCCAAGATCACACAGCAGGGGAAACAGCTAGAACACACCCAAGTTCACACAGCATGGGTTATATAAAAGGCACACACCCAAGATCACTAAGCATGGGTAAAGTATCACTCACGGCGTCCAGACCTCATCTGACAAATACTAGCCAACACCCAGTATAAATAACTGACCAAACTACTCAAACGGGTTCGACGAGTATACGTTGATAAAAATAGCAACAAGTACAACCCAGTGACCAATAGTGCGTAAATGAAATAAACGATAACTCCTACTGCCCAAATAAAGATAACTCTTACCAATACCTGTACAATAAGCTAATATAAACATTGACACAATGTCACTTGTGACAATACCTCCCTTCTTAAGACACAAAATGCAATTTTGTGACAAAAATTGGAAAACTATGTACACAACAAAGTCTTTATGAACACGAACTTACTCAGGAACAACACGACTGAGAAAATCAGCTCCAATATTATCTACACCTCTAATAACCTCAGTCCTAAAGTTGAACGCTTGTAGAAAAAGAGACCATCTCATCAATCTGCCGTTTGAAGCTTTAGTCTTTTGTAAATGAAGTAGTGGTCTATGATCTGTCTCCACAACAAACGCTCTTCCATACAAGTAAGACTGAAATTTCTGTATAGCCCATACGACTGCAAGACACTCTTTCTCCACCACCGAATAACGTTGTTCTCTGTCTAGCAGCTTCCGGCTTGCGTACGCAACATGAAATGTACGTCCATCATGCTTTTGCATCAGTACTGCACCAACTCCATGATTAGATGCATCAGTTCTTAAGATGAATGGCTTTGTCAAATCTGGTAATCTGAGAATTGGACTATAGAGCATCATGGATTTTAAACTCTTAAATGAATTATCATGTTCTTGTTTCCAGTCAAATTTGTTTGGAACACCTTTCTTGGTTAAATCAGTTAAAGGAGCAGCAATGGTGGAAAAGTTTGGCACAAATTTTCTGTAATAGCCAATCAAACCAAGGAAAGATCTAACCTGCTTCTTTGTCTCTGGCCTTGGTGCTTCTTGTATAGCTCTCAGCTTCTTGTTAGTTGGCTGTAAGGTACCTCCTCCAATAACATGACCCAAGTACTCTAGTCTCGTCTGCGCTAGCTCACATTTTGATGGTTTTGCTGTAAATTGTGCTCTCTGTAGTCTCTTCAGCACTTTTCTTAGTTCTGTAATATGTTCTTCAAAAGTTTCTGTATGAATGAGAATGTCATCAACAAAACTATCAGTATGCTCTTAACCTTTTAGAATTTTCCGCATGAATCTATTAAAAGTAGCTGGGCTGTTCTTCATACCGAAGGGCATTACTTTAAATCTGTACAAACCATCTGGTGTTAAAAATGATGTTAAGTCTCTGTCTTCTTCTCTCATTGGAATCTGCCAATATCCCTTACATAAATCAAGTTTAGAAAAGAAACAACTGTTACTAATTTTAGTCATGATTTCATCTGGATCTGGCATAGGTTCTGGATCAAAAATCGTTACCTTGTTCAAGTTACGAAAATCCACACATATTCTCTGGCTACCATCGGACTTCTTTGCCACGACAATCGAACTAGCATACGGTGATTCTGATGGTTCGATGATATCCATGTCAATCATATGCTGTATTTCTTTTCGGACTGCACTTCTGACTGCATACGGTATCTGATATGGTCTGTTTCTAATTGGTTCTTTGGTAGTGAGATGAACTTCATGCTGGATAACATTCGTTCTACCAGGTAGATCTGTTAAAACTTCCTGAAATTCATGTAAAACATCATTTATGTTTTCAAGCTGATCTAATGACAGTGAATGATTTACCTTGACATCTGTGAATGATTCTGTTGCTTTCATTGGAAGAAGATGTAACAAATGTTCATTACTTGAGTCCTCTGTTTCCTCCGATTCCAAAACAACACAAGATGCTAAAGTTGTGGCGAGTCTGTATTCCTTTCCTCTCGAACATTGTATTTCTTCACCAAATTTGCATGAAACAAACGAATATGTCCATTCATATCTATCTGGTAATTAGTTTGTCCTTTTCTATCAACTACTTTGAAAGGTCCTTTCCACTGCATTAAAAGTTTGTTATGGTCTGTTGGAAGCAAAAGAAGAACAAAATCACCAACCTTAAATGATCTCGGCTTTGTCCTTTTATCATAATGTTTCTTGTGATGTTCTTTGGACTTCTGAAGTTCTCTCTGAGCCAGCTCACACGTTCTTGCCAATCGCTCCTTCAGGTCAAGCACATACTGGTAAGTAGTTTTCACTTCCGGGTCCTTCTCTTCCTTTGTCCACAGTTCCTTCAAAACTACCATAGGTCCCCTAACATTACGTGCATAAACTAGATCAAATGGAGAAAATTTAGTACTTTCTTGTGGAACCTCTCGATATGCAAATAACAATGCTGGTAAATATCTATCCCAGTCTTTTGGTCTTTCAGAACTCATTTTCCTTAACATTGACTTCAAAGTACCATTGAACTTTTCTACTAGTCCATTACATGCTGGATGGTATGGAGTTGTTACTAATTGCTTAAATGATAAAAGTCGACCCACCTCTTTCATGATGTTGGAGGTAAATTGCGTACCCATGTCCGACAGAACTTCTTTTGGAATGCCAACTCTGCTGAATATCTCTACCAACGCTTCTGCCACCGTCTCTGTATCGATGTTCTTCAATGCAACCGCCTCTGGATACTAAATACTGTAATCTACAACAGTCAAAATATATCTATTGCCTTTGTCAGTATTTGGAGAAAGCGGTCCTACCAAATCTACGGCTATTCGCTCAAATGGTGTATCAATAAGTGGCATTTTCTCCAACGGCACCTTCGTCACTCTTCCCTTAGGAAATGTTCTTTGGCATATGTCACATGATTGGCAATATCTCGTTACATCACCCTGGATTCCAGGCCAATAGAAATTCGACATGATGCGGTCTAGAGTCTTCTTTGTACCAAGATGTCCGCCTAAGATACTGTCATGCGCAATCTTCATAACTTTCTGTCGCAAAGGTTCTGAAACAACAAGTTGTTTATATAGTTTTTCATCACTAACCTTTCTTGAATGATAATGTCTGTACAACAGTCCTTTCTCAACACTAAACCATGTCTCTATATTTTCACCAATGTTCTTATTTCTGCCAGTCGCTGCATGCTCACGATACAACACTTTTATGGAAGAATCTTCAATCTGAAGTTGTTTCATCTGATCAATTGTCATATCAGTACCCCCTAAATCTGTAACTTTTAGCTTTTTCATACCTTTGTCTTCTTTTTTCTTTCGATTCCTTGTCTGTACTGCTTGAAGAACTTGACTACACTCTTCTCTTTCGTCCTTTCTACACCACTGTGGATCAGGATCCGTCTGATTTCTGGCACCATCGATGTTACCTATGATAAGATCGTAAACAGGTTCTTTCATACATAAAGCATTGATATTACCTGTGAAGTAGGGAGTGTCGACATAGATAGAAGCTTCCTCTACTGTTCGAACTGTGCCGTCTATCAAAACACATTTCTGCACTTGTCCAGTCAGTTGATCATCTGTAACTAAATCTCTCTTCACGACAACACCACTACAACCCGAGTCTCTTAACACTTTAACAAAGTTTTCACCGACATAACCCATAGCAACGGGCATCGTTTTACAAACCTTACAGACGCCTCCAATAACTGGTAATACGTGTCCACATGCAAGTTTAACAAGTCCGTCTGTGACACAACACTGCAACAGTTTATGTTGGGGGATGCATGCTGATCCTATGTGAGGCTGATTTTTATGTGATATGGCGTTATCCATCTTGACTACAGCAGAATTCTGTAAGTTGGAACTAGAATTGTCATTAGATTTCATGCAATTCAACTCACAGTTATGTTGACTCTGTAACATCGCAGCCTTGTGAGTATTGTGCGAAGTAGGTACTGCTCGAGGAATCTTCTGCTTGGAGAAACAGTTTCTTGCCAAATGTCCACTTTTCCCACAGATGTAACATTTTCTCTCACCTTTTTGCTGTAGTGATCCTTGGTACATCTGTTGCTTTTGAATGGATCCACTGCTGTTACTCTGAACGCTAGAAGTGCTTGATGGTTGTTTCTGAAAAACTTGTAAGTCTTTAGTGAATGAAGTATAACCATGAGCTTCAATAAATTGGTCTGCGAGATTTGACATTTCTTCTACGGTTTTTGTATGTCTTTCTTTAAGATACGTTCCCAACTGCTTACTACAACTGTTCAAAAACTGTTCTCTTAAACACAAATCTTTAAGACCGTCATATGTTTTAGGACTATCTGCTAAAGACAACCATTTCTCTACATAATTGTTCAGCCTAGCAAAGAATTGTGAAGGATTCTCACCCTGTTCTGGTCTGCTGGAACGGAACTTGACACGAAAACCTTCTTCTGTCAGTTGAAAACGCCTCAACAACGATTGCTTCAAGGAACCATAGTTCAAAGCCTCTGAAACTGGAAGTCTAGAATAAACCTCAAGAGCATTACCTTTCAGGAGAGCACTTAGATTAATCGCCATGAAGACTGTTCCCACTTAGCACATGAAGCAAACCTTTCGAATCTCTGTAAATATGAATCAATACAATCTTTAGATTCATCAAATGGAGGTAACTTTGGCAACTTAGCAAGTGATTGAGAAGCAAGACCCAATGGACCTACAGATAGTTCTCCAGCTTTTAATTTTTGTAATTCAGTTTCTTTCTTAAGTTTTTCTAATTCAATTTTGCTCTCAATCTTTCTCGCTTCTCTCT